TACCAAAACGAAGACCCCCTACCAAAACGAAGACCCACTGCCAAAACGAAGACCCATTACCAAAACGAGGATCCATTAATAAATTCGTTCTGTTCATGAGACACACTACGAAAACGAAGATCCTTACGGAAATCTTGAATTCTGAATTTGGCGCGTCTGTAATTTATTGCGGAATATTTCAACAGTAGAGCCCTGTAGAGCTTTAAATGGGACTACTTTAAAGCTAGAACGAGAGTTAATCGAAGAAACATGACATGCACAGGACAGTCTGCAGGGAAAGTTTTAAGGTTCACTTCTTTGCTTGTATCTTAGCAAGCTGCTTTTCAATTTTCCAAAAATTGTGCTTTCAGACTGCAAACAAAAGTTTAGATTAGCTATTTCCTCGATTATCTCCTTCAAATTATGAAAGGATAACTGATCAAAAATAGTTGTTTTTGCAGTTGAAATGATCCTGCTGCAGATCTTGTAGGAGTAAGGGAGAAAAGTAAGTGTAGCAATTATCATTATTTTCCTTGTGATGATCTGACTTGACCTAGGGCCTCAACCTAAGTTAAGGAAAAGCTTGCAGTGAGTAGCAAAGAGAGCTTGGAATCCTGTGTTTATGTCTATAGGATGCACATTTTGCCTTTCTACATGGAATGATGGGCCTTAAGTAAATGGAAGCATTCTGGTTGGTTGTTACTGGGTCTGTGTTTTGTCTTGCAGACTGTTTCCATCGTAAAGGTCATAAGCCATGTACACTGTATTTTTGGTTGCAAAAGCAGACAAAGTAAAAATAAACAAGTTGCTATATAATAAAACACTTACTTACCTTGCTTGCTGGAGCTGCACTGGGGGATACTGACCCTCAGTTGTTTTTGTATGGACCTTGCTGCACTCGCTTCACACTGCCACAGCTTTGGGACAATGTTCCTCAGTAATGCTCAGGTGCTTAGTTGGTTAGAAGTTAACATTTCATATTTGTCATTCATTAGTTTCTATTTTTAAAAAACCTGCCCACAATGCAAAGAGTAGGGAACGTAGCTCCTGGTGTTGTGATCTGGCCATGTCATTGTTTATATATAGGCCCCCATTTAAACCAGCTTTGAGCAGAACTAGGCCAGCTTGTCAAAATAATCCAAACACATACATATTATCCGGGTTTTACTTTATATATTAATTTGTGAAGGACTAAAAGTAAACATGATCAACAACAAGTTCCCTTTTTTTAGGGCAGCTGGGCATGTGGAGGTAGCATCAGGAAAAAAGTAAGTTATCTAGAGTTTGGTGCAACTATAATAGGGACTAAGACCTTAACAAACCACTATGGCAGTGACAACGAGGATGTGACAAAAAGAAACCTACTGGACAGAACAATAACTCAGCACTTGTGTTAGAAAACTTTTTACACTTCTTAGTTGTCCTCTGCAAAACATCATCATGAAAGCATCAAAATTTTTGTGGTCTGAGAACCAAAACCCAACAACAAATTACTCAAGTTTTCATTTGCTGCTCAGGGAAGCTAAC